ACATGAAAAAATGCTCAACACCACTAATTATTAGAAAAATGCAAACCAAAACCAGAGGTATAAACTCACACCCACTAGGATGGCTGTTGTCAAAAAAGAACCTCAGAAAGTAACAAGTATTGGTGATGATGTGGAGAAATTGGAACCCTTGTGCACTGTTGGTGGGAATGGAAAACGATGCAGCTGCTATGGAAACCAGTAGGGTAGTTCTGTAAAATATTAAAAATAGAATTATTATAGGATCCAGCAAATCCACTTCTAGGTATACGCTCAAAAGAATTGAAAGTAAGGTCTCTGTATACCCGTGTTCACAGCAGCATTATTCAAAATAGACAAAAGATCGAAGCAACCCAAGTGTGCACTGAAGATATTTGGATGAGCAAAATGTGGTCTATACATACAGTGGAGTATTACTCAGCCGTAAAAAGGAAGAACATTTCTTGACACGTGCTATAACATGGATAAACCGTGAAGCCATTATGCTTTGTGAAAAACCAGTCACAAAAAGACAAATGTTGTGTGATTCCACTTCCATGAGGTATCTAGACTGTTCAAATTCATAGAGGCAGAAGATAGAATGGTGGTTGCCGGGGAGCAGGGCAGAAGGTGAATGCAGACTTAATGTTTGATGGGTGTAGAGTTTCAGTTTTGCACAATGAAAAGAATTCTGAGGTGGTGATGGTTGTACACAACGTGAATATACTTGATGCCACCAAACTGTACACTTAAAAATGGCAATGATGGTACATTTTATGTTATGCGTATTTTGCCACAATTCTTTAGAAAGCTACACTATGCAGAGCAATTCAGTGCCTACACAGTTAAAATCAAATTCCTCCAACCTGATTTTTATTCCAAATAATTTTATAAAAGCCATAAGTCACTTTCTGAATGAATTCATAATCAAGATGGACTCTTGAGTAACTTGATTTGGTCAGGAACAAAAATCAGAACATGACAGAGTGAGAGCCGCTTGAGGGGACCTCAATAATTAATGAACTTTGAAAAATGCCCTAAGCCTCTGTTTATTTATAATGAAAATACGATGCATATTCAGAGCTGTTTGCATCTGCAAGCCTCTTTACAAAGCAGATAAATAATTCAAACAGATCTGCTTACCTGGGTATTGAAGGACAGTAAGAGGCCAAAGGTCAGGATTCTGTCCTATTCTTCTGAGCCTTACTGATTTTCCTTCTCCAGGTGCGTACTTGCCAGTGGCCCAGGACTCCCAAAAAGGCCCTGCAACATGACTCAAGGTATGATTTCTCGCTTTCCCATCCACTTCCCACTTCTGAATGATAGAATGTTTCATTTCAAGGGAAAAGAATTCCAAAGCTTATTTACTTGCACTTTTTCATGGCTCAGTTAATATTATTATTATTATTATTATTATTATTATTATTATTATTATTTCTATCTGCATCCTAGACCTTTTAATACTCTTAGTAGTTTGCATCATCAGACTTTACAGAAGGCAAGAGTGCTCCCCAGACCACAGGGCATGAAATGGAGAATGAGGTTCATGCAGAGCACCCCTGAGGCCCACTTGGCTGCACAGGGCGGCTGGGACAAAGACAGGACAAGATAGGAGATGGGTTGTTTTTCCTTTTCAGATTCCAAAAGACTTTCTTTCCGCCCCTTGCTTAGAAACCGCCCATTAGAAACATCACTGTCTGTGATGGTTAATTTTTTTGTGTCAACTTGGCTGGACCACACGATGCCCAGACACTGGTCAAACATTATTCTGGATGCATTTGTGAATGTTTCTGGATGACATGAACATCTGAATTAGCACACTGATTAAAGCAAATCACCCTCCCTAACATGGGTGGGCCTCATGCAGTCGAAGATCTGAATAGAACAAAAGACTGAGTAAGAAGGAGCCCTGCTTGTCTGATTGTTGAGCTGGGACATCTGTGGTGACACTCTTCCACTTTCTACTTCTTGTCACCCAAGTGGGTAAGAATTCAGAGCTATCACAGAAGACCCACTGCCTTTGCCCATCCCCCCACTCCACTTCCCTGGCTCCAGAAACCAGGGGTCTTCCTGCCTGGCCCCCAGCATGCATATGTTCTCCCCCCCCACCCCCATTTTCAGAATTTCATCAGGGCCAGGTTCTCCATGCCTCACAATTATTTTCTGAGAAACTAATTCATACTTCTGAAGAAAGCAGAGTATTAATGGTTAAGATCAAGGGCTTTGGACCCAGGAAAGCCTGAGTTGGAGCTTTGGTTGGGACCCAAATTGTGTGACATGGCAACTTGCTTAGAATTTCTGCGCATCATTCTTGTCCTCCATAAAATAGGGATATCAGCTCCTATTTCAGACAGCAATGAGCATGATTAACTGAGGTGTGCACACAGCACTTAGCAGAGTCCTAGTTCATAGTAAGCAGTGAATAAATGGAAGTGATTACTACTGTTTTGTGCTAATGGAAAGAGTTTAGACAAATTATCCCCTCCTCTCCTCTCCTCTCCCTTTGTTTAATTCTGTCTTCTCTACCTGGTAAAATAACTTGTATAGTGACATGCCTTTGAGTTTGATGCCCAGAATCTCAAAGTAGGAATTCTATTGATAGAATTTCAGCCTAGGAAGCATTTTGGTGAATTGGGAAGTGCGAGGATTGAGCATTGAGAGGTGTAGACTCTGATTCCTGCTCGGCTGCTAACAAGTCCAGCAATTTGGGGGGACGAGGGAGAAAGGGGGTTATCGTCTCTGGAAGGCCATCAGTTTCTATTTCAGTAAAAGGAATAGTTGGGATAAGATGGGCTTGTAAGTTCTTTCTAGTTCTAAAATGCTGTGACTATATGAAGGGTCATGCTCTGAGTGAATTCTTTTATTGAACCTTATATAAGAGCCTTAGCTGACACGTATATTTTTCTTCTGAGAATTCTTGTGTAGGCTTCCCTTGACGCCCATTTTCCTGCAAAAGCAGGAGTCGAGGGCAGACAGTGGAGTTGGTCATCCCGGGTTTGGATTTCCGCACCATCACTTGACTTTGGGCCAGTGATGGAACTTCTCTGGGCCTCTCAGTGACCTCATCTGTCAAATGGGGAGAGACAAAGGATACATGTGACGATAAAAAGAGACAAAACACTTAGAAATATATAACCCCAAAGATTGTGGAGTTTAATGTCCTGAAGGGCAATAAGTTCATTAACGTAGTGAACTTATTTCAGAGTGTCTTTCTTTGTGGACTGTGAATACCCATCTTACTGGTTCCCTCATTAACTAATGAGTGGAATTAAATCACATGTGTTTCATTCTATTTTTTGTATGAGAATCAAGTATAGTGATACCTCGATTTGTGAACATAATTCATTCCGGAAACTACTCGTATTGCAAGACATCACTCGTTTACCAAATTTAAATGTATTATTAGATTGGTGCAAAAGTAACAGCGGTTTTTGCCATTACTGGCAAAAACCGCTGTTACTTTTGCACCAACCTAATAGAAATGTTTGCTCATCTTCCGGAACACTCGCAAACCAAGTTTTTCACAATCCAAGGTTTTACTGTATTTAACTTTTGGAAAATTATCCTTTGACCAGTCCTGACTGCCTTAAGACACTTTCCTTAATACAGTGACATCAGCAAAACTTGCTTTGCTAGAAATGCTGATTACATTATTAAGAAAAAAAACAAAAACATACTAAGTTTCCATTTTTATATTTTTTGCCCCATTCTTCTCTACGTCAGTTAGCTAGAGCCAGGTCCTAGGGGGGTGGAGGTGGGGAAATAGCCCTTGGAGGAATCTCTACCCACTGGAAAAAGAAATAAGCAAGTAGCAAGATGAGTCTAGCTGACAGATACTCTCATTGTGGCCTTTACATTTATGACTAGCAAGATAATGAAGGAAGGTAATTCTGAAAGCTTTATGTCAGTTTTAATGGTCCCCAAAGCACTGACAAAGAATGAATGGTGTCCACAGAAGTTTTTCTCCTCTCCCCTGACAACCATTGACAGGCTCATTTTGTATTATATTTGTAACTGCTACCACTGAAGCATGGAGAAAAGGCCCTCCCTGTAAGGCCAGGAGGAGGAGGGTGACTTTCCTGCAAGGATCTCTGTTGTCATCACTATGACAATGATAGTTGCTATAATGTTCATTCTGCTTTTCTATCGAGTGTCTGCTTAGCGGAGCTTAAGGCTATGGGATTTGGGCCACAAAAAAAATCACACTAGCCTGAAATTGTGCTTTGTAACCTTGCAAGAGTATTTTATAAACCTGCAAAGAAAACCTATGTAAAAACATAAAAATAATTACCAATGCAGGTCACTTGACTAGTGCAATTATTTATGGGATGCTAATAGCTTTTCAGAAGCTTTCAGGTACAGTGTCGATTTGATGGTTGTTTTTTCCTCTTTGTTTGGATTATTCGGCCATTGCCAGTTTTTCTCCCCAAGGACATGGCTATCATGGGTGGGGGTGGGGGTGGGGGAATGTAAATTAATTGCAAATTGGCTTTCAGTCGTTGTGTGGTAGTTTCTCTTTATTATCTGCAATTAAGCCATAAGGTCAGGAGCCATGGCTTTTATTTCATTTCTGCACACCCTCATCTCCTAACACTGCATTCAGCCTTATTAGCTTTCCAACAGAGAGTACTAGAGAGACATCCAACACTTCCAAAGTACAAGTCTGCAAAAAGAGCCTTTCTGAAGGAAACAGGATGGGGTGCGGACGGTGACCTTAGGGTGGAATGAAAAATCTCTTAAGAAGGCCTCAAGTTCAGGAGAAAACAGTTGAACACAAAGAAAAGGGATGCAAAGAAAAGAGATGAAAACAAGAAAAACAAGCAAAAGGAAACAAAGCCGGAGGCGGACTGGACTGAAGAGAAATAAAAAGTACAGGAAAGGCAGACAAAAAGGGAACGTTGCCTGCCAGCCGAGATGCTGACTAAAAGCGGGGACGCGTGGAGGGGCGGAAACTACAGGCCCCAGAATCCATTGCGGCGCCTTCCCCCAGGGTTTACGTCTCCTAGGCAACCACGGTAAACAAGATGGCGACCTCCGGGAGCGATTCCCAGTGGCCGCAGCCTTCCTCTCTCCAGGGAAGCTTGGGCAATCCACGAACAGGAGCCCAGTCGATAATGTTGCGCTCAGAGAAAGAGCGCAGGTCGTCTTTTCCCCTGGGGCAGAGACCGACAGAGCCTCAGTTCCGAGCCTCTTACCTGCTCCAGCAGCTCATTCGTAGATACCGGGAGGCAGACGCAGACGAGGGCGAGGAAAAGGAAGAAGAGGAATCCGAGGAGTCCTCAGACTCAGAGATGCTGAATTTGGAGGTGTGCCTTCCCTCCCTCACCCCCCCCTTTCTCCAGCCTTGGGGCTCTGTTACTTCAGCAGCAGCTCCCCGACACACGCCTCATAGGCTAGCCTGCCCATGCCTTGGGGTTTCGCCTGCAGGGATGCCTCTTCCTGACCGCTCCGAGGCGCCCCCTCTTTTCTTCCTATTTCCGTTACCTAGTTTCCTCACCCCTTGTCGAAATCTTTCCAAGTCTCCTTTATTTTTCATTAGCGCATTTGGTTTTGTAGGAGTCAAGTTACACAGCGTTGTTAGGAAAAAATTTTTCTATTTGTATGGGAGTTTTGGCTTTGTCAGAATTAAACCTTGACAGTATTGGGAATAGGTCGAGTTCCGTCTTTGGGACCCCCCTGCTGCGTTTCTGGTGACTGTGAAGTACTCCAACACTCTCCCCCACTTCTAGTCCCTTCATCGCCTTCCTCTAGGGGAAAAAAAAAGTACTTTTTTGATAAGTACTTCCTCGAACACGAAGTGACTTAAAAGTTTAATGTATGACTTCTGCCAGTGGTATATGATGCATTATACAAGCAGCACACACGCGCGCACAGACACTACACACACTTAATGTGGAGTATTTTAGGATGTGGAGAGTGTTCCCAAAATCCTTATGTTTATTGCCTAGGGTGGTGGCTTGGCCTTTCATATTCATACAGATTTCTTCTTTTCTACTGTACCTTTTCTAACCACCACCCCATTCCACTTTCTCACACTTAGTATCATCCTGTTCCTTTCTTAGCCCATTAGTCTTCTTGTCCCTTGCCACTTCTCATCACATCACTTCCTTCTATGGGCTTCTAGTATATTCTTTGTTTTCTTCCAAAAACAGAAATTGATTTGATTCCTTTCAAGAACCTGTTAGGCTTTCCGTTTTGTCTTGGCTGCCAGGACACTCAAATCAATATTTTTCTGAATTGCAATCGGGGTTTTTTTTTAGATTAGGTTTTTCTCTCCCCTTTCCTCTTCCTTCCTAGCACAAATTGCTTTTCAGAAGTAGATGTGATACAGAGAAATAGAATGTTGCCCATATCCCATATCTCTGATATTCTGACTTCCCCTCTTTGCATCTTTGCCCCTTTCCCAGGTCCCCTTGCCTCCTTGAGGCCAAATATGTTTCTCATTGTTTTGCCCATTCTCTGTCACAGATGCTTTTCCTTATTAGTTTTAGTTCTTACTCTGTCCTCCCTAACTTGCAGTGTCTCCTGTTCCTCTGAGTCTACCATTAACCACTTACACTTTCCCCCGCTTGGGTTCCCTTGTTTTGTAATGTCCTTGTGTTCACTTTCAACAAGTGGCCCATTTTGTCCACCCCCGTTTCACCTTTCCTCCTCTTCTCCCTCCTTCTACATGGGCTAGTTACACACTAGTTTTGCTTAAAGTGGACCTTAGGAAATTATGACTTATTTGTTCATCTTTTGTTGATTTGCTTTGCCACCCCTACCAATGACTACTGCAGACCTGTAGCAGTGTTTTCACAAGTTCAAGATGTTTGTATGGTTTCCACCAGCTTCTACCCCAGAGGAATTCACAAATGAATCCCCAGTTCACTTTATGATTCTAATTAATGCATGCTCTTCGGTTATGGGGTTCACTAATGCCATTGTTAATCTGTCTTGAGTATGCCCAATAGCAAACCATGGGGGGGTTGACTTGAACTAGTTATTATTCCTTTTTGGCTTCTAGGATATATGTGGAAAAAGTTTATTAGTTCTTTCACATTCTAAATATTTATTTTATGTTCCCACATTGTATTTTAGCTTTTTATAGTATCTCATAAGTTTCAATATACTGAATAAACTGCAAAGTTGTAAAGGAAACATTTGGGCTTTTATGTTCAGTGATTTACTTTCTATGTCTTAGCCTAGTTAAGATTGATAATGCCATGATATGGTCACAGTGATTCCAGACCTCAGAAGCCCTTATGAACTTAAGGGAGCTGGTGCACACCAGTTCAGAATACTGCCTTGGGTTCGTGGAAAGCCTTTTGTTAGTTGTGAGGTTCTTTTTTTTTTTAGCTGAGTCGTCCCACTACCTGTTGGCAGCTCAGCGGCAGCTCAGCTCGGGATGGGCATCGAATCGCTGTTGCTCAGAGCTCGCACTCTTGAGTGAGCTCTTAACCAACTGAGCCACTCAGCTGGCCCAGCTGTGAGATTCTGAGCAAGTTACTTCACCTCTCTATGTCTCATCATATGTAATATGGGAATTATAATAATACCTATTCTCATAGGAGAGTTCTGAAAATTAAAAGAAATCCTATATGTAAAATACTTAGCATAATATTTATACTGTTATTAATACAAATAATAACTTAAATGTTTTCATCTGCTGACTGTAGCCCACTAAATGATGTCATTAATTTAGCCTTCATTGAACAAACAGTCACTGAGTGATTGCTATGTAGGAAGGTCTCTAACTACGGGGGTGTCAAAAAATGTATACACATGACTTGTGTTCATTTTCTGTTATCGGTATATAGTGAGTATTGCAATTTTGATACAGTTTTTTCCTTTCTTAAAATGTGCATACATTTTTTTGGCACCCTCTATATAGGGCAAAAGACTGGGCCCATTATATGTGTCTGATACATGAAAACCACTCTTTGCCAGTAACTGAATGTGACTAGTAATACCTACTCATTAGATAGTTATGAACATCAAATGTAATCAGAAACTGTGTTAATATATGTGTTACATATGTGTTAATATACCGTGTTTCTCCGAAAATAAGACTTAGCCGGAGAGTAAGCCATAGCATGATTCCTCCAGGATATGGAGGGCACGCACCCCTCACATGAGGGTTCTATGACCTGTCTCAGGGAGAAGGGTGCCTTTTCCACAAACTCCTTCAGCTTAAAATATTCAGGATGCCAACGTGTCATATTTTGGCACCTAAAATCATGCTATGGCTTACTTTCCGGCTAGGTCTTCTTTTCAGGGAAACAGGGTAGTGTCTCCTACACAGTAGGCTCTCAGAAACTGTAGATGTAATCCATAATAGCAGCAGTAATATTAGAAGATAATGAGAATGGGATTGAGGACGTACATGGTCCCTTCTCTCAATGTGAGAAAATCATAGCTGTTCAGCTTGTGAAGGATATACACGGCCATCCATGTGCAGATGACCGCTGGATTGCAGGGACCCTGGAAGACTTGAAGGAAAGCAGACTCTTGTCTGGGTGGAGAGGTGGTGCATGGGCAGGCAGAAGGCAGCTTTTCCAGTTACAGGTGAGAGCAGGAAAGCAGGGCAGGTAGGGGAGGGCTCCGTGCTGCTGTGTGGGCTGTGGACTCGGGTTTCTAAGCAGTAGGAACTGCCCTGGATTAGATTCGAGGCAGAGAAGAGACTCTAGCCATGTCTGTGGAGGAGAGACAAGAGTGGATTAAGGCAGTGGAAGTGGAAATGGGAAGGCAGCTAAAGATGAAAACATTGACCATATCTGAGATGGGACACTTACTAATTGAATATTAGAAGTCTAGGAGGACTCCGAGGTATATAGCATGGTCTTCTGCGGGGCAGGGATATTTAAGGCCATTAACTACAATGGGAAGCGGACGGGGAGAGCTGTGCGTTAAGGAGTTGGATATATGAATCACGTGACTCTGGACATCGGGAGGGCGCTCAGAGTAGGAGACCTGGGAATCATCAGCATTGGAGTCAGCCAGGAGAAAAACGGGGCGGGGAGGGGTGAGGAGGGGAGATGGAAGGGCCAAGAATTGAACCCTTGGGTCCAAGTATGTAAGTGGCGGGCAGATGAGGAGCACTCAGGGAAGGGAACTGGAAAGCGCTGGTCGGAGAAGTAGCGGAAGGAAGGGGAGCTGCATGAGAGGAACCTGGAGAACATGGGAACAGCTTGGCTGCCAGTATGTGACTTGGGAAGAGGCCTACACAGTGCTCAATAGCTTTGCTTGAGGGTCTTTGGAGACCTCGGCCCTTGTGGTTTTGTGACATGGCGAAGGCAGAAGCCTAACTGAAGGGAGCTGAAGAGCGAAAGAGAGGTGAGGGAGGGGCGTGAAAGGATCAAGAAGCAACCCTGGAAGAGCTTGGTTATTAAAGGAGCAATTGCTGTAGCTGAAGGAACGTGCAGGACCGAAGAGAGCTCTTTTAGGACATCCGTGTACAGATGGAGAAGTGACAGGTTGGAGAATGACGGTGGACAGGGACTGGTTGAAATCACAGGCAGAAGGGGCAGAATTGGTGGCCCCTTGGCAAGGTCCCCGGGGAAACAAGAGTGGGTCCTCTTCTCTGCCCTTCCCTTCCCTCTGCTAAATAACCTCCAGCTCCCCACGAGACCGGACGTGAAACGGGTGCCCTGCTGACAGCCGGACCTCCCTGCCTACCCCTGTTGTGATAGTTACCCGACTCCTGAAATCGCTTACGTACTTGTCTGGCACGTCCTTAGCGTGCTATAAAGATTTTCATTCCAAATGAGTGACGAACATGACACAATCCCTGCCTTGGCACAGGAGTTGACTGAACTTGATGCAGGTTTGGGTATATAGGTGGTCGTTGCAATCAGGGGACAAGCAGTCAGAGACTTGAGCATAGAGAGACATTGAAATTGCTCATGGGATACCCAGGAGGGAAAGACGCATAGACACGAAGGGACAGACAGACTGAGAAAGGGAAGGATGAGCAGACTGGCGATCCTATTGGGGTCAGAGGACAAGTTCCGTAGTTGTTGGAAAGGTTGGGGCATAGGCAGTTGTGGGATCAGAAGGGAATGGGATACCAGGGTCTGAGGTTTCTAGGGTGATGCACTTTAGCATGACGACGGGTCCATGACATGGCCAGAGGAGGGAGTGACAGAGGTTTGGGCGGAAATCAATTTTAAGACATTTAGGGTTGAGAAAGTTAAGAAGCGTGTGTATGCGCATGTGCTTGAGGTAGCAGGGTGTTGAATGGCCGTTCTTGGAGATTGTGAAGCCACCCAAGGCTTAAAAGGTCTGAAAATGACCAAAGACCAGAAGGGAAAGGCTTGCTACTGACAAATGGCAGGAACCTCAAAGAAGGTGTGAGGAGGCTGCATGGGGAGTCTTGCGTTGGGGATCTTGGAAAATGCGGACAGTGTGGCTGGTCTCCATATCAACACCGACAATGAAAACCAGACATCCGCCTACCATCAGGGGTGCAGTATCTCCCCATATCCACGAAATGGAGGGGGTGGCTCAGGTTAACTTCAGAGGTTTAGGTGGAAGGTTTTGGAGGGAAGACAACCTCTGTTGCTTCCCAGGCCCTACATCAGAAATGGAACTTTATTTAGAAAGGTAAATATCGGGCCGGCCGAGTGGCTCAGTTGGTTAAGAGCTCGCTCAAGAGTTTGAGCTCTGAGCAACAGCGGTTTGATTCCCAGCCCGAGCTGAGCAGCCGCTGAGCTGCCAACAGGTGGCAGGATGGCTCAGCTTAAAAAAAGAAAAGTAAGTATCTTTTCCTCATTTTGTGAACAGGTTGATTGGTATGGATGAATGAAAGATTAAGATGTAGAATTTCTCAATTAGTAGTAAACACTTGCTATGTTCTAGGCACTGGACTAAGAGCTTCATATACCTATTTTTTTTTCCATTCTCCCCAAACATGAAGAGAAGGCAATAATATTTTTTATTTATAGATAAAGACTGTGAGGCCCAGAGAGAACTTTATCTGCCAAAAGTCATATTTCCAAAATTACAGACCTGGGGTTCACACCAAGCCTGCCCAGCCCCAGCGCCTGCGTGCTCTCTCCATGGGAGCGGCATTTGCTTCCCTGGGCCAGTAGAAATTTGGGGCGAAACACAATCGCTGCACCACCACAAGCCTACATACTCACGTTCTTAGTGCCCACAGCCTGAGCAGCATGATTAGTCCCTGAGTTAACGGAGAAGACCTGGGAAAGGTATTTTGCTGTCATAGCCCACGAGCTAACCATGGCTGGTCATGCTGGTGTGACTGACATGATCACTGTACTTTGTGTCCTCATGCTGATGTACCTGTTAATGCATTGGTCATTATGGAGTTAAAAGCATCACAAACATAGCACTGACCCACCTGTCATCTCCTCTGTCTGTCATTCTTGCAGAAAGAGCATGTTGGGCCACCAATGGTCCCCTCGATGTCTGTAGACCAAGGGCCTGCCTCCTTATGGAAACAATTATTACCTTTTTAAATGTTATGAGGTATATAAATCCAGCAAAATTAGCCGATAGGAAGCAAACCTAGGACCTGTTTTCTCCAGCAAGAAGGTCAGATCACAGAAGTAATTGCCTCTATTTGATGTGGTCACCCTTTGGGGTGTGGGCAAGCAGTCAATTATGAGAATTGCTCGAGCGTTGGAAAGACTCGGGTTTGTATTTTGGCTCTATCACATACTCGCTGCGTGGTCTCAGGCAAGTTAACCTCAGTAAGCCTCAGTGTCTTCATCTGTAAAATGGCGTTAAGAGCACCTACCAAAGGTTGTCAGGAGGATGGAATGAGTTGATCCATTGAGCGCTATTAGCATGGTGACTGGAAAGGAAACTCAATCCGTGTAACTATCACCACTAACATTGACGTGCCTAATATTGAATGTGTTCATTCCACTTTGAATACCTAATATGAGTGACCACCTGAAAATTTAGTAGCAACAAACACATTGGTTTTGTGGATGGAAAAGGGGGCATGTATTAACCTGACAAGATCAGGAGACTGAAAATAACCACATAAGATGGCGTGAGCATAACAAAATTTCATAACTAAGTGGGCCGTGGCGGGAAGTCACATCTTGAGCTTCCTTAATCAAGTAAATCTGTGCCTTTTCAGTGGACCTGTCTGTTGTCTTTTTGCACCTAAATTACATCTTTGGAATGTCATAATCCTTCTTCCAGACCAGAGCTGGAAACTGCTAAATTCCTCATTATTATGCTTGTCTCCTGATTACGATTTCTATGTGCTATAAAAAAACGATCTGTTGCTATCCTGCACCCACCTATGTAAAAAAAGTACTGTAACTCCAATTTACTTTTATCCAATCACAGAGATTTCCCCACTTTGCTTTCTCCCACCCCCTTCATCTATCACCAATGGATTTCATGTAACCTTCCTCCTTTGATTTTATGTATAAAATAAGCTGCAAACTGCCATTTCTTGGAGCATTGTCTCAATCCTTTGAGATTTTGCTTCCCGGCAATTGTCATCAGTTTGGGTCAAATAAACCCTTATAAGTTTTCTCTTAGGCTGGATGTTTTTCATCTACAATTTGATAGATATTTTCTTTAATCATACATATTATGTATATGTCTTCAATACAGAATTTTCTTTGGGGCTAGTAAATTGTGGAGGGCTCAGCTCCTGGATATGTAATATACTGTCAGGGCTGGACATGACAAGAGGGATGTTTGCTTTGTAATGAAAGCCCTCTATTTGTCCACCTCTCTGGTATGTTTTGCAGAAGGAATTTGATGGGGTCCTGAGAGAGGAGGCCGTGGCTGAGGCACTCTACCAATTGGGGCGCTCAGGGTCTGGGACGGAGCAGGCCTACCTCAGCCTGACTTTATCGGTGAGTACGCCAAGATCATTGTTGGTGGGGCCATATCTATTTTCTCTGGTACTCATAGCTCTTGTGGCCCCAAATCTCAGAGTCTTGTATTTGATGGAGACTGGTGATAAGAGTAATTTATGTAAATGTTAGACATCAAAGAGCCCTGGCCAATCCATTAATCAGTTCCTCAAATTCTGTTGTTTTCATTCCCTTCAGCCTATTTCTTTCATCTTAAGTAGTCTATATTATAGCAATCAATGCCTTCTTTCCAGAAGGTTGAATTTGATGCTGTAAAACCAATCAAAAACTCTTTAAGAATTTTCTCTCTGATCACTGCCAGGACTAAAATTTATATCTGAATCCAAGGGAACAAAGGATTTCGGTATCGACTCCCTCGCACCCCAAGTCTGTTAAGAAATGGGTAGCTTTGAGCTAGCTCACTTTCCAAAAGATACCTATTATCAATGAAAAATAAAAAAGTGTTGTTATTCATAGCGTGGCACAGAATCTTGGCTCCAGTTTTATCATGAGAAGCTTGTAAGAGCCTCGGCTGCTTTTTCCTGTTTTGTTTCTCTATAGTCCTACAAAAGCAATTTAACTCTTTTTGCTTCCTTGTATTGTAAAGCATTATAGAGTCCTTGGAGATCCACAGAGTAAATGCAGATACATAGGTGAAAAAAAGCATGCTAAAATTTTGCTACAGCACCAGAATTTGACTCAAGTGTATAAAATTCACAAGAAGGCCTTTCTGTCTTGGATGTGAACGAGTATCGATCTAAGAAACGTTAAGCTGTTTTCTCCCATGCTGGTTCCATGGCATGTGCTTTGAGGACAGCCTATTAAGGCTCTAATCTTTTACTATTTTCACTTTATAACATTTTACAGATGACTCAGCCAGTCAGGCAGTAACATACAGGGGAGCACCCTTTGTGAATTGCACTACATTAGGTATTGGAACGGCAGATAATTCCAGCAGCCAACACCTCCCCACACAAGACCCTTTCAGTCGAGTCTACTTATGTACATAGCACAATGCCATACACTGACCTATACAAAAAAGCAGTTCTTTAAATCTTATTTCAGCTAGATGGTCTGAAGCTTAACTTCCTTTGCCACTGACCTCCTTACATTTGAGATATTACACGTTACATTACTTTGCCTTCATAACCTGTCTTACTGAGCACACTTTCTTAGGGTTGCCTGGTTGAGTGATTTTTTTTTCCCCCTTATATCTTAGTTACATTATACATTGTTTTTTTACTTTCTCCTTTGACTTGTGTACTTATCTTCTCGCCTACCAAAGTCATAAGTTTCTTAAGGGCACAATATAGCTCTATTTCATTATTGTGTTTCTCATCATGCCTTGAACATAGCTGGTTTTCAGTATTTATTACTGTTCCAATGGCCTTGTTAAACACTTATCACTATTATATTTGAGAACTTGCTCATAATGACACTTCATTAGTTGGCTTTTTCTGATTCTGACATCACAACATAAACCATGGATAGGAAGGAGTCTTTGCTCCAAGGGACAAAATGCCCCTCCAACCCCTATTTTTTTTTAATTAATTGATTTTTTTATTAGTAGTTTCAGGCATACAAAACAACATAGTGATTAGACGTTTACACACCTCCCAAAGTTCCAACAAGTCTAGTACCCATGTGACACCATACATAGCTATTAACAATATCATTGACTATATTCCCTATGCTGTACTTTACACACCGTGACTGTATATTTTTAAACTTGTAGTTGACATTCAATATTATTTTATGTTAGTTTCAGATGTATAGTGCGTAGTGGCCAGACATTTATATAATTTATGAAGTGCTTCCCCCATAAGCCTAGTACCCATCTGACAGCATACATAGTTTTTCCAATATTGTTGACTATATTCCCCATACTGTATTGCACGTCCCTGTGACTGTTTTGTAACTACCAACCTGTACTTTCTAATCCCTTCCTCTTCTTCCCCATCCCCCAACACCCCTTCCGTTTAGCAACCCTCAGTTTGTTCTCTGTATCTATAAGTGTTTCTGTTTTGTTCATTTATTCTGTTTTTTAGATTCCACATAAAAGTGAGCTCATATGGTATTTGTCTTGTCTTTCTCAGTCTGACTTATTTCACTCAGCATAAGTCCCTCTAGGTCCATGCATGTTGTTGCAAATGGTAAGAGTTCATTCTTTTTTATTTCAGAGTAATACTCTATTGTAATTTGTGCCCCAGTTTCTTTACCCAATTGTCTACTGATGGACATTTCAGTTGTTTTCATATCTTAGCTATTATAAATAGCACTACAGTAAACATAGGGGTACATATATCTTTTCAAATTAGTGTTTTGGATTTCTTTGGGTAAATACCCAGCAGTGGAATTGCTGGGTCATAAGGTAGCTCTACTTTTAATTTTTTGAGGAACCTCCATACTGTTTTTCACAGTGGCTACAACTGTTTCACAGTTGCTACACAGTCTGCAATCCCACTGTGTGGGTTCTCTTTTCTTCTAATCCTTGCCAACATTTATTGTTTGTTGTTTATTGATTATAGCCATTCCGACAGGAGTGAGGTGATACCTCATTGTGATTTTTATCTATATTTCTCTGATGATAAGTGACTTTGAGCATCTTTTCATATGTCTATCGGCCATCTGTATGTCCTCTTTGGAGAAATGTCTATTCAGGTTCTCTGCCCATTTTTTAATTGGATTGTTTGTTTTTTTAGTGCCGAGTGTTATGAGTTTTTATAAATTTTGCATATTAACCCCTTATCAATGTATCATTCATTGGCAAATATCTTCTCCCATTTAGTGTGATGTCTTTTAATTTTGTTGATGGTTTCCTTTGCTGTGCAAAAACTTTTTAGTTTGATGTAGCCCCATATGTTCATTTTTTTCTTTTGTTTCCCTTGCCCGAGGAGATATATCAGTAAAAATATGACTACGGTAATGTCTGAGAGTTTACTTACTATATTTTCTTCTAGGAGTTTTATGGTTTCAGGTCTTACATTTCAGTCTTTAATCCATTTTGATGAGAGAAATTGAAGATACAAATAAATGGAAACATATACTATACTCATGAATAGGAAGAATTAATATAGTTAAAATGTCCACACTGCTCAAAGCAATCTATAGAATCAATGCAATCCCTATCAAAATACCAATGGCATTTTTCACAGAGCTAGAACAAATAACCCTAAAATTTATATCGAACCATAAAAGACCCCAAATAGCCATGGCAACCCTGAGAAAGAAAAACAAAGCCAGAGGTATCATGCTACCTGATATCAAATTGTGTAACTACAAGGCCATAGCAATCAAAACAGCGTGGTCCTGGCATAAAAACAGATTCATAGATCAATGGAGCAGAATAGAGAGCCCAGAAATAAATCCACGCCTATGTAGTCATTTAATCTATGACAAAGGAAGCAAGAATTTACATTGGGGTAAAGATAATCTATTTAATAAATGGTGCTAGGAAAATTGGACAGTTACATGCAAAAAAAAAAAAATGAAACTGGACCACCTTCTTAGGCCATGTACATGAATAAACCCTCAATCAATCCCTCTTGAAGTTCACTAGAAGCAAGATTTCGTGGGAACACTCTTGGACAAGGTCAGGAGGCTTGGCTCTGCTACTCTGTCACTAACTTGCTGGGTGATTTTCGGCAATTGACATACCTCTCTGTTCCTTACATTTCTCATCTCTAAATTGGGAGTAATTGGCCTGGGGATCTCACACATTTGTTTGATCAGATGAGATTATCGTGGAAGAGATTTGAAAATGAACCCTGGGAATATGTAGGTGGTGGTGTTATTAATGGTCTCCTGATTGGATGTGAACTCTCTTTATAATAAGATTTCATTTAAATTCCAGGCATTCACTTTTTCTGTTCCTCTGCTAAGTAAAGGCTTTAGCTTTATTACAATTACTTGTTATTGTTTTGGGGTTTTTTTAAGATTTTTTATTGGGGAATTGGGGGATGGGAGCAGCGGTGGGGAATTGGGGGAAGGGGAACAGACAAGTTGCTGTCCTTTTTTTGTTCTTCAGTCTAGTTGTGGAGGATGTTGCTTCACTGGCCCAAGTTGACACCATCATTGCGCTCTTCCCAGGCGAGGCAGATCAGTCGCTGGCTTTTGGACGGCCACTCACTGCGGCTTGAGAGCCACTCACACTGGCTGCTGGCTACACATGATAGCCCATGGCAGCCCACTGCAGCAGGGGCTGCAGCCTATGCCGTCACTGGCGACTCACGGCAGCCCAGCTCCAGATTGAGCTGTTGTTCAACATCTTAGCTGTGTAGGGAGGTGTCACTGGCCCTCATGTGGGATCCGAACCGGGGCCCTCTGGTGTCCCAAGCCAGCTCTTAACCAACACACCACCCCTGTTGTTGTTTTTTAAAATGTAAAACTGCACTGAAGGTCTTCATGACACTGCTTTAATTTGCCTTTTCATGTTATATTTGTTCCCGTTAACACCACTGATGTTCTAAGCTATTACTTTGTTCAGAGGAATGCATTTTTTTAATGGGACATATAATGTTTTGAGATCCTATTAGCAGTAGGCTCCAGATTTTGTCTTCTCATGTCTACTCTATTTTTGAATCAAGAAATTCCGAATTTCCTCTGTCAACTATTATTTCCAGATGTTGCGAGAAGGCCCAGTACTAACCTGTTACAGCAACATTAAAGCCTTCTACCTTTTATTTCCTCAGGGCTGTGACTTAATTGACATTAGCATTCTCTGTGGATATGTTCACCTGCAGAAGTTGGATCTCTCAGTAAATAAAATTGAAGGTATGTAATTGTCATTCTTGTAAATTGATGGATCACTGAATCGGTTCAAAATTTTAGCTTTGCAGTATGTAATTTAGTTTTATACCACAAAACTTGACATAAGTGCTATTGTGGATCAATTTACATATCGATCCTTCGCTTTCCAATGTAAAAAAGGCACCGATGACTGATGACTGAAGAAAAAATCAAGGTCAGCAAAAACACAGCATTATGCTGTGGCTGAGAGGCCCTCAGTGCTATTGAAGAGTATCACATGGAATGTTTGCTTTTGTCCTGTGAAGAGATGGATCATTACTTCTTTCATACTTCCTGAATATTTGATGACTCCCTTTTCTTTCTATTAGTTTATTCAGCGTAGATGAATTAGTTTTCATTTTTTGTCCTTTAATGGACTCTTTATTTTGCATTTGCATGAACATTTTAATCCTGCCCAACTACTTCTCTTTCTTATTTGAGCACCAAGGATTCACAAATTAATTTTTTCCTCTCCTTTGGTTGTCGCCGTATATTTAGCCGATTCTTTACATTCTAACTTTGCCGTTTGTAATTCTATATAATCTATTTGTTGTGATATCTTGCTCACGTTACATGAAGTTAGTCACATTTTCATAAAAGCTTGATCCTTCTTTCTAATTTTCCGATCTTATCTGAAGTTAAAGTGCACAATTTCTTTTCTTTAAACTTCTAGGAAAGGAAGCAACTCCTTATTGCTACCCTGTTGTCTTCACTGATAATCTTTCTACTCTCTTTCTTCTTTAGTCTGTCTTTTTTATGACAATGTTGCCGATATGGTCTTCTCTGGCTCATTTTAACTTTTTTTATTCCCCCTCATAAGACTGCGGTAATTGAAATCTACTTTCGTTTCAATGGCTAAGAAATATTCTTAAAATGCTATTATTTTGAAAGACTTTATATTTTTTTTCCTGGTTTGATAAAACTTTATTATGAAAAATTACAAACATGTCCACAAATAGAGAGACTATGGTGATGAAGGTTTGGGTTCCACAGCTATCAGCCCACAGCCACACTTGCTTCATCTGTACCTCTGTGTCCAGGATTATTTTAAAGCAAATCCCAGATATCATGTCATTGGAAAGCCGGTTTTACTGTTATTGGCAGGCGCTCTCCCCACACCCCACACGTCCATGGTTGGTTTCATTTCCTGGGTAAGGAACTGCAGAGTGTGTGTTTGTGGGGGCGGGGGGGGGTCCTAGAAGAGGCAAGAGATGTGGCTTCATACCCTTGTTGAGTCCACAGTTGCAGATGAAGCTTTCCTCTTCAGATCAGTCTTCTTTTACTCTTTTATGGCCCGTTTTATGAACTCATCAAGTGTTTGAGAACCTGCTGTGTGTAAGGTACAGTTTATTTTTCTGTTTGTGAAAACAGCGTTATTGATGATCTGAGGTAGACCAGCTCTCACCTTGCATCAGAATCACCTGGGTGTGTGTTGCGGGGAGGAGACGGCGGTGCCCCACCCTCAGAGTTTCTGGCTCGCAGATCTGGGGTGGGAATTGAGAATTTGCATTTCTGGTTAGCTCCTGGGTGAAGCCCATGCGGCCAGGCCTGGACCACACTTTGAGAACCAGGATGTAGACGTGAGGTGCTGCTGCCATCTGGTGGACACAGCGGTCACTACACCAAACAGGGAATGAACGGGCCTGCCTGCGTTGGAAGGCTGGCAACCCAGACCATGGATTTTCTCTGTCAGTGATTTGAGGGCACTGGGCAGCTACAAAGTATGAAATGTATTTGCCATCTCTTTGTCTCCAGCTGAGTGGTAACTGCTGCTTCTGCTTCCAGACAGAACTCCAGGGTATATAGCCCATACCTGCCCACCGAAACATGAGCTCCCGGGAGCGGGCAGAGGGGCCAGTGGGACTTAATTGAGTTGAGCCCACTGCTGACAGACACGGAGCTGAGCTCAGAATGGACAACTAAACAACACTTGTGAAGCAGCGACAGCTTCTTCTTGGGTTTCCCTCACAGGCAGCCTTCCTTGACTGGCTCGTGAGTCGCCACCGAAGTGTTGCTGTTTCCATGTGTTGTCCCTTCTAGAACAAGGCCGAAGAAGGGGTGAGGCTTAGACCAGGGACATGAAGGAGAAATTGGTGGGGACCTTCTGGCTTCAGCACCAGGAACCGCTGGTTCCGTGATCTGGCATGGGAAGAGCGGGAGACGCTGTTATTACCATGTTCAGGGGGGAAAACAAAAGACTGGTACAGACAGGGTAGTGAGTCCTCGCCGTGTCATCGTTCTTCCTGGGCCTTTGTCTTCCTCATCCCCCCGCCCCGAAGTGCTTCTGCTGTAAAATGGCACGGAAAGACAAGATAATAGTTCGCCATTTATGTTCTACATGTAATTTTATCAGGCGTGACTATTAGCACCATAGCCCTTTACTTAGTATTCAAGAGTCGGAATATGCGCTTGGGATAAAATGTAAAACTCAGACATACATTTGAATGAACCCAGCGTCTAAGTAAAATAATAGCAATAATTTAAATCGCTTCAAATAGTTAATGAGAGTTAGTCCAACTAAAAGAAAATTAGATTTATAACAAAGAAAGTTCTCTAATTGTGGCATTTTCCGTCCTTTTGAAAAGACCTACTTCAGTTATTTAAGGGCTAATTATCAAGAGGATGATCTAAAGCTTTGTAGTTTCTTGCCCTTTCCTCCAGGGCTGGCAGTTTGGGAAGCATTTGACGGTTAGCAACTCGTGGGAGAGTAAGCTGGGACATGGAGGAGGCCTCTGTGATTTGTTACTTGGCCTTTTTGGAAAGAGGGGGACGGAAGAGATGGGGGAGAAGCTTCAATTCTTGGCTCATGGAGACTTTCCACACTTTGTGTGTGTGTGTGTGTGTGTGTGTGTGTGTGTGTGTGTGTGTGTGTGTGTCACACACTATTCATTTCACTCTTCAGGTATAATTAAGATGTGCTTGCATCTGGCATACTTAAAAAATGTTCTGATAATAACATATGCTGTTTTTAGTGACTTTATCTAATTTTTCTTTTATTGGCTGACCTTATTCTGTGTTTATTTTTCCTTCCCAGATTTGTCTTGCGTGAGTTCAATGCCTTATCTTCTAGAACTTAATGCTTCCCAAAATAAGCTGACTACATTCTTCTATTTCAAGCCACCCCAAAATCTCAAGGTAGGTCAATATACCGATTATGTATGTTAACTGGTTTGCTAAGTACATCAATAGGCAAAACAGCACTAAAATAGAAAATTCAGAGAGGATGAGATGGAGGTTTAAATAGTGCTAAGTGTCTTATTTTCGAAAATGGAGGTGGTCTGTTAGTGGATAATCTTTTTTAGGAAGCTACTAAAACCTAGTGTTCAAACCCGAGAACTAAGTTCCATCTGTTCTCTTTCCCTCATTTAAATACTAATTATTATTTGTATGTTTTTATCATAGCAGAACAATTTTACACCTGGGAAAATATGTAAAAAGTTCCTGGGGACTCAAGCGTTGCCTTCCTTAATGATCCACCCTTTCCTTTTGTTAGAAAGCCATGACCTCAGATTCTTCATTCTGGCCTCTCGGCAGCCATGTTTTGCGTTTCAGGGGCAGAATTAAACTCTGTGCACGTGTGGTCGGTGGGCAGCTTACTCTGCTGTCGAGCACCGTGTCTTGTGCTATAATGTGCCCAGAAATCACCCAGGGTTCGCGTGGAAATGACATCCTGACCCCTTAGGTCTGGGCTGGGACCTGGGATTATTTTGAACAAACTTCCCGGGGATGCCATGGCTGCTGGTCCATGGACCACACTGAAGCAGAGACGTCAGGCCATAGTGGTTCCCAAACTTTTCTGCTCCCTCAGTCACCTAGGGAGTTTCAACAACCACTGAGGCCTACATCCCACCTTTGGCATTGTTTGAAGAACGCCAGCGTGGCTCTAATATGCTGACAGTTTCGGGAAACAGGGCTACAGAGTTTGGTACTAGCATTCTTCTCTTGGACTCACATATTGAATCTAAAAAGTTACTTTTAGGAATGGACATCAACTATTGCCTTTTATTAGCTAGTTTTATTTTATTTACAAACAAATTAACTTAGATCCAGAGTATTCTGCCGGTATTTGCGCACACATGGAGTCAAGAATCTGACATCTCTCACACTGCCGATGAGACTGCCTTCTGAATTTTTCTCCTGTTGTTTCACATCTCTCCACTTCTATCAGTGGTAGTTTCCCCCCTCCCTCTTTGAAATTATAGTTGTGGCCGGGGTGACATTCTTTTGTCCAAGTAAGCTGCACAAGGTGCCTGTGTATACTCGGTGTGGGGCCTCATGGTCTTGAGCTTATCAGGAATTGTATTTGCAGAGCTGTTTCCATTCTCCCTCCTTTGCTTTCGAATTCTGCTTCACCCTGAGCCTCAGGGAAACCAGTCACGGCATCAGCCTGGGAAAAGCTTCCTTGGAGTTTCTTCCATTCACACCCTTCCCTCACCCCCTCTCAAAAGGACGCCACAAATGAACAGAAACATATCAGATACCCAGCCTTTTTTTAAGAGCAGTGTTAGGTCCACAGCACAATTGAGAGGAAGGCATAAAGGTTTCCCGTGGATGAACCCACACTGACACATCGTTATCACCCAAAGTCCATAGTTTACATTAGGGTTCCCTCTTGGTGCTGGACCTACTCGTAGTTTGGACAGACGTGTAATAACCTATATCATCGTTAAGGCAGACACCCCGTCTTGAAGGTCAGAGAATTAAGAGCAAATATGTCAGTAACTTTAAAGGAGGGCGTGCATAGTGCCAGACTGCCCCGGCGAGAGGCTAGGAGAACCCGGCGGGAACCTGGGTGGCGAATGATGGAGGCCACCTGGCGTTTGTAGTACATTACCTCCTGTACTCCTCCCAACAAAGCTGTGAGGCAGCTGGAACGTTCCCATTTTACAGATGAGGACACTGAGGTACAGGAAGGTTAAGTAGTCTTTACTGGGAGGTAGCAGGGCTGGGATTGAACCTGATGTCTGAGACCGACAGCCAATCTCTTCCCAGCAATACAGACCGTGGACGGTATCCCACCCTCTTGGGAAGCTCTGCTTCCTTTTTATTTATTACTTATGAGCCTTGTGCCACAAACCAGAGAGAACATATTTTTTTCCTGAAGAGCAAGAGCTTGTAATTCCACTTTTTTTTTTTTTTTTTTT